TGCGAGGGGGAAGAAGAGCCAACCTCAGAGTTATTACCGTCAGCAGCGAAGACACCGACTAACGTCGACGACGGAGTTAGCGTCTCACTTCGCTTCCTCCCCTTCCATCAGGAACCGGAAATCTGGCTGCCCCGGGTCACGTGAGCAGCTGCCATATTGACTGGTGGCAGCGGCGGCGAGGAGGCGGGGTGTCAGACCGGCTGTGCGTCTCTGAGGCGTGGCTTCCAAGCTGGGGGAAGGTTCTGTGGATTGTGAGGGGAGGTGGAGGAGATGGCGGCGACGGAAGATGGCGTCCGCAGCCCGGAGCGAGGGCGGCGGGGCTGCGAGCACTATGACCGAGGCTGTCTCCTCAAGGTGACGACTTGAAAGGGCACTTCCTGAGAAGATGCCGCCGGGGTTAGGCCGGGGCAGGTTAGGCCTAGGCGGTTAGTCTTGGGCACAAGTTTCAGACGGAGCTGCTTGTTAAGATACCTTCTGCACCTGGAATTGGGTTGCCCCTTGCAGGGAACGTATTTGGCAAGGCGAGCATGAGCTCTACCTTAGCTCTCAGCTTTTGTACCTTGCAAAGTTCTTGTTGTTTGTAAAGAGCGGGGCCTTGCACAGCGTCCCTTACCCAGTGGGTTTATTCGTCATTTGCGGTTGACAGTAGAAAGAGGCAAGTGTCAGGCCTGTCCAGGACCACTGTCGGATGTGTATGATGGTAACGAAAGGAGGATAAGCCAAGGGAAAATCAGAATGTGATTTTTGCTCGTGTAGTAAGTAGCTGGTGTAGCCGGTCAGCTTCATTTTGTTGTCACGGAGAATATAGAGAAGTGTGGTGTGAGAGACAGTGTAATTGCCATTAGATTGGATTTTGGAGACGTGCCTAGTACGTAAATGTTATTTTTGCTGCTTGAGAAACGTTCTAGTCCTCTAGAGTTTTAATAAAGGTGGGCCCCACACAATTAAGAGTTTCTTGATTTTTTTTTTTTTTTTGGAAGTAATGTGATTATTTTGTTGAGAAAGCCTGATACTTGAGCTGGGGGTGTAACTAAGCTGTAGAACTTATGCTTAAAACGCTGGAGGCCCTGGCGCCAGCCATCTGAAGTCTCCTCCCACAGAAAAGAAACGTGACTGTTGGAATCCTGTAACTTTTTCCCTGTATCTTAGTTCTGCTCGCAATTTGCTCTGCAATTTTGAGCAAGCTGCTTTTTAAATGGCTTGCATATAAAATGGTAATTTTAGAAGTTCCGTTTTTCTTTTTCTTTTCTTCCTTCCTTCCTTTTTTTTTTTTTTTTTTTTTTGGTTTTTCGAGACAGGGTTTCTCTGTGTAGCTTTGGAGCCTATCCTGGAGCTCGGTCTGTAGACCAGGCTGGCCTCGAACTCACAGAGATATGCCTGCCTCTGCCTCCCGAGTGCTGGGATTAAAGGCGTGCGCCTCCAACGCCCGGCAGAAGTTTTTTTTCATGACTGGTCTTAGTGGTAAAGGACTGTAGTTCTATCAAACATGTACTTCCAGCTATTTGTGAAGCTGAGGCAGAAGGAATGCCAGCCTGGAGGTGCCATTGCCAAGAAGGAAAAGAAATGGGGATCTGTCAGTCATTGCTAGAGTACTGACCTCACCTGAGAGTCTGTAGGTACTTTCTCCACCGCCAAAGGGGAAAGCCCCTCTTTTATTAGCAATATGATGACTGCATTCTAGAGTGCACATGTACTATTTATGAGGTGCATCCCCAGAAATGGGTAGTAAATATTAATTACCACTATCAGTCATCATCATCATCTTTTTTTTTTCTTTTTTCTTTTTTTCATTTCACTTTACCAGTCAGCCCTGATGGTCACTGACCTCGAAAGCTAGTATTAAATGATAGGCTTTGGTCTGTAAGACAACTCAAACCCTTTTTGTAGGCCACAGTTTGGCAGATGTTGTTTCATTGCATTGGATGAAATTCTTTCAGACTTGTCAGTTATCAAATGTGTAAGCAGTTGAGTACTATTCTTCTGATTACATTTTCTACTGAAATACCTTCACAGCTTCAGAGTGAGATATGGAACTGAACATCTTGTTCTTCCCTGGCCCCTGCAAAGAAATTGCATAGCCAAATTTGTGTTTTATAACACTTTAGCTGCTTTTCCCTGAGTGTCAAGCATTGCTCTTCTTTCCCCTCTCCCTCTTCCTTAAATATGAGAGGCCAACTCAGGTGTTTGAAGGAACAAGTCATCTACTTGATCAAGTGCAACTGTTCAAGTAAGATAAGGAGTGACATTTGACCTTTGACTTGGCAGGGGAAGGTCACTGTTCATCTTGACAAGAGAAGTGTCAATGAAAGGATCCAGGGCAAAGCTTATTGGAATGGATATTAGAAATAACAGAATTTTTGGATTTTTATTGCAAAGGAGAGCAAAACTGTGTCTGTTTTGCTGAAAGATGTGTTACAGTATGTTTCTGCACACTGGGAAAATGATCAAAGAGGCCTTTTTGAATGCAACAGGAAAAGGGAACACTCTAGGACTACTGTTCTTGAGTAGTCAAAGTGAAGCCAGCCTTAGCTCAAGTCTGGTCTAACTGTAGAGTCTTTGTAAAAGGAGACAAGGCAGTAGTGTGTTCCTTTATTGCTGTAATAACCACCACAACCAGAAACTACTTGGGGAGCACAGGGTTTATTGCTTACACTTGTAACAATTCATTAGGGAAGCCAAGACAGGTTCTCAGGCAGGACAGGAACCTGGAAGTAGGAACTGAAGCTGTGGAATGCTGCATACTACTGGCTTGCACTTCATGGCTAGCTCAGCCTCCTTTCTTATATAATACAGGATCACCTCCCCAGGGATGCCACTGTTAAAAATGGTCTGGGCCTTCATACATCAGTCATGAATCCAGAAAATGCCCCACAGATGTTCGAACTGGCTAGTATGAGGGAGGCAAATCTTCAGTTGAGGTTCACTCTTCCCAAGTGATTCTAGTTTTTGTCTAATTTTATCTAGAAGATAAAGCATATTTATTCTCAAGAAGGCTGATAGATCTTATGAGTGAATGTTTTCTTTTGATTACTCCTATTTTAATAGTGAGATTAGTAGCAAGGTCATCAGTAGAATGTTGCCAAAATGAAAGAGGTGTTAAGAGTTTTAAAGATGAAGTTGTAAAACGATCGTCTAGATCACTGGTTTACAACATATGGGTCATGACCCCTTTATAAGAGTTGTATATCAGATATCCTACATATCAGATATTTACACTATGATTCATAACAATAGCAAAATCACAGGAAGTGGCAGTGGAATAATTTTTATGGTTGGGGGTCACCACAACATGAGGATCTGTATTAAAGGGCCGTAGCATTAGGAAGATTGAGAACCACTGTGCTGGACCTTAAGGCTTCACCTGTAGAAGAATGAGAGCGTTAACTATGAAATGGTGTCAATAAAATAATTTTTTCTGAGTGGTTAATGAAGCAAGAGTAATTTGAGCTGCCAAGAAAGGTACAGGAAATTCGAAGAAGTTTATTTTTATTGATCATTACACCAAGAAATTAAGAACAGGAAGTCGCCTGACAGTGAAGATGTAAAGACATTACAAAATAAATAAAATAAATAAAAAGTAGTTTAGTGATAAATTCTAGTACAATTTTTACTACTAGTGTAAAAATGAGTTCTGTTAATAATGGTATCTGTGTTTAAGGGAAGAAAACTTGGAGTTTTCCTGATTATAGTCTTCAAAAGCTTACATGGAGATCATGAAGGGGATTGCCAGGAATCTTAAGAGTAATGACATTTAAAAGCTTGGGGGCAGGCATGCAAAAGTGTAGTCTTCTCTGTTGCACAATAAAGCCCTGGAATTAAAAACAAGCAAACCGAAAAGAAGACCAGACAGTGTGGTGATGGTTTCCTTCAACTGTAGTTAGCTACTTCCAATGAATGCCAGTGGGTAGGAGTGGTCTTAACTAGTGTTGCTAGGATTTTAGTTGTCTGGTATTTGGAGAAAGGGAGGAGACAGTTATGCTATATGCAAGGGAATACTTGGAGTTAGTTGAAAAGAGGAGTTAGTGGCTAGAGAGTTTCATTCTTGGAATTGAGATACAGATCTAGCATAGTCCTTTCTCTGGAGCAGTGGAATCTCTTAAAAATGTGCAGATATGCAGAGTAATAGTACATTGGAAAGCATTAGGCTAGCCAACTGGCCTGGGAAGTTCTTCTTTTTTCCAACTATGTGTGTGTATGTTTTTTTCTTGACAATGTAATACATTTTGGTCATTTCAATCGCCTCCCCCCCCAAAAAAGAGCTTTTCTTTTTTGAATTATGGGATTAGGGATTGAAATGAGTACCTTGCATGTGCCAAGAAAGTACTATACCAATAATCTACATCTCAAGCCTGGCATTTCTTGATATAACAGGTAGAAGTTAAGCATGTACAATGAAATGACTTAACAATAATGAGGTTTAAATAATCAAGAATACATTTAAATACGTCCGAAGTGTGATCCAGATGGGTAAAGAGAGACCTCTGTTCCACTTGGTCATTTTAGAGTCAAGTTTTTTTCTATTTTATTATTTTGATATATTTTAAGGCATATGATCATCTGTGGGATCCAACTGTAGAATAATTGAATAATCTGCTCAACAAGAGAGGGGCAGATTTTAGTGGACAACTGGTAATTTTTAACGTTCTCAAAATCAGTGAGGCTGGGTTTGGAGATGCATGTTTTTAATCCTTTCACTTAGAAGGCAGGGCTAATCTGATCATGGCTGGCTTGTATTACTTAGATCTAGGACAGCCTGGGCTATATAGATAGACCCTCTCTAAAAATAAACAAACAATGCCTGTCTCTCATTTTTTTACCTGTGCAATATTAGGTGTGTGCATCA